GTTGTGACAACGTTCCACTCCTTCCCGGATAATTAGTATGGGAATTAATAAAAGACAGAGAGATTGTATACTGCTTCCAGTCTGACATGGATGTGAAATTTGAGCATAAAAAGGCTGAATGCTTAAGAGTATAAGCAGTGGAAATAAATTTTGTGAAATAAGTACAGTAGCTTGCAAGTGTAATTGATATAGCAGTGAGGATGTATATGTGAGGATGATGAGGATGTATCCATCCAGTGAGGATGGTATGAGTGATAGAAGAGATATGAGTTATGTGTTGAATGAACAGTTTCAATGTGTGTTTGTACAAGGCAAGGAGTTCACACCACCATAGATTTAGCAACATAACATAAAGTTTCTGGAGATGATGTGAAAAAAAATTGCTTCTGGCTTTATGAATAAAAAAAAGCACTAGAGCCAGATGGATGATCACCTTAGGTTCTGGATACGTGTTATCATGAGCGGGGCTATCTACTAAGGATTATTTTCCAGATATCTATGCAACAAAAACTAGCAGGCATATGGAAAATGGCAAAAATTGTCTTAATTTATAGAAAAAAGTGATAGAAGATCATTTAAAAGTATAGACCCGCACTGATGGCCAGTGTGGTAGTATAGGTGGCTCATAGTCAATTGGTCTTGAATACAATTCTCACAAGATGTTTGGGCACATTTCCTTAAATGTGATGCCACTGTTCACCTAGCAGGTACCTAGGAGTTAGTTAACTGTTGGGGGTTGCATCCTTGGAGCGGTCAATCATTGGCTAGGGGACCTCGATAGACTTAACAAGATTCTTGTCTCTGATGATGGGAAACCTAATTGAAATGGGTGAAACATTTTGAAAGAAATAATATAATGTACTGTAATAACAAATAGGCTGTTTGGTATTATTACAGGAAAATTTACTCTGTTTTTAGAACAGTTGTTAAGATTTTGTAAAAATGAAAGTTAGGTGAACTACATCTGTTTGGACCTAAGGAATGCATTAAATCCCACACAAGATTTTCTTGGAAGTTGAAGCTCATAAAAATATAACTGGAAGACTACTAATATGGCTGAACAGTTTTCTAACAGGTAAAAAGTTGAAAGGGGATTAGAGGACATATATCAGAGTGGAGGAGTGTCCGTAGTAGGGTCTCACATGGCTCAGTATTAGTGCTAGTAATATTCATTGTACTTATAAATTATCTAACATTAAGGATACAGAGTTATACAAGCATGTTTGAAGTGATGCTAAGGAACTGGGCAGAATAAAAATCTAAACATAATAGACTAACAAAGTAGTTAATGGCAAATGGAATTTAATGGGAGCAAATGCAATGTAGTGGAATTCAGGATAATTGAGACCAGGCCACATTCAGTTTACAAAGTATGTTGTAAATCACTAAAGAATGCAAATCACAGAAGAAGATTTAGTAATGGTCCTTGACCATAAGCTGTCACCAGATGGTCACATGTAAGGTATAGGCCAATTTCAGTATAGCCCTCGGTACATGTACAAAGGAAATGCTTAAAAACACTGTTCATAGCTTATATGAGACTCAAATATGTAATTACCTAAGTGTAGTTACAGGAGGAGAGCTACGCTTGTGATGTCCCGTCTTCTCAGTTCTCTTTGTTGCATAACGCTTTGAAACTACTGATGGTTTTGGCCTCCACCACCACCACCTCACTTAGTTTGTTCCAACCATCTACCACTCTGTTTGCAAAAGAAAACTTGTTAATATTTTTTTGGCACCTTTGTTTCCTTAGGTTGAATCTGTGTCCTCTTGCTTGTGAAGTTACTGGTTTCAGGGATTCTTCTGTCAATTTGGTCAATTCCTGTTATTATTTTATAAGTGGTGATCATAGCACCTCTTTTTCTTATATCTTCTAGTTTTGGCATGTTTAACACCTCTAGTCTCTCCTCATAACAATTGTTTTTCAGTTCCGGAAACCATTTTGTAGCATGCCAATGCTACAAATGTAGCAAGCATTTTGTAGCAGATGCCATTGGTATAGTGATCATACTTCAAAAATCATTTAGACAAAATATAGAAGGTTCAGAGATATACTACTAAATGGCTCCTGAATCTAAGAAATAGAGCTATGAGGAAAGGCTGGAGGAGCTAAACATGCCATAACTGGAAGTCAAGGAAAACGAATATGATTATTGTGTATTATCATGTTGTCTCGCATAGTTGAATGATAATTGTTACTACTACTACTATTTTTTTGTATTAATAGTTACTACCAGCACCTCTTTCATACAGAACTTTCTCAATTAGATATCATGTTACCTCAAACTATTGCTTTCATGATGTGCTCCCAATATATGCTCACTTAACAGTTAATATTTGATATTTCCATTGTGCTAAACACTACAACTCGGGAAATCACAGAATAGCCACAGTCAAATGTTAGCTGTAACTGAGAGATTTGATGTTATTATACTGCAATCATGTCAGGGGGGACACAATATCATAACCACTGTATTGCACCGTAATTAAATTTGACACGTCAACAGAGCTCATAAAAAAATTCGTTCCCTAGAAATTTTGTCATTCTAATATTGATAAAATGCATTTCCTGATCACAGCGAACAAACAAAAAAACCAGCGTTGACTTGCCCTTTCCTGGAGCCAGAATGTTCTTGCCTTAGGGAGTGACCAAATGATATAGCTCAGAAACAATAAATAAGTAAGATTTTTATCTTTACCTGATTTATCCAAGGGCCACTAACCCTAGAGGCCTCGACAAGGACAGGAATCCAGCGGCTTGTCAAAGGTGCCCCCAGTTGCCTTTTTTCCTGTGAGTACATGAAAGAAGTCTATGTGTGCACAATTACATATTGTGCACACATAGACTTCTTTTCTGGGAGAACCCCCTTTATTAGCTTCCTGAATCAAATGCTAGTCTGGCCAAGCCTGAGGAAGATGCACTAGTTCTATCCTTGCCTACTGGGAGCCAGGACTTCCTATCTGTTCAACGGGCTTTCCCTATGAGGTGAAAGGGGCTTGGGGAACAGATATTGACCCAAAACTGTAACAAAACCCTACCTGAAAGCATTTGTAGAGAATTAGTTATTGTCAGGTAACCAGATGAACAATCGTTTCAGCAGTATAAATATCCGAAGTAATATGCTGGACTGCCAGCAGGTGGCAGTCCAGGTCACACAGGGTCCCAGTTATCCCTTACTGACTTGCCTGGTCTCTCAGCTTCTCAGTTTCACTCTGATGCTATTTGGTTTTGGCTATTCTTGGGACATTGGTTTTGCTTGGGGAAGTACTTTGCTATTGTTTCTCTTCTTCAGATTGTGCTTTATATCATCCACATTGCCTGTGTCCTAGCTTTATTATTTTTCTCCAACTATGAGCCAGGTTCCCTTCCTTGGGAGCTGGTTTGCATTTTGCATGCCCAAGCAGAGATATTTACCTGAATTTACCTGAGGGCCACTAGTACTAGTGGCCTCGACGAGGACAGGAAGCTGGCGGCTAGTCAGAGGTCCCCCCCCATTTGCCTGAATGATCTTTTCTATCTGTATTTTAAACTCCAGCAGAGTTTTGGTGTTTACGGCTTCACACGAGATATGTGCTCTAGGGGTATCGTGCTGACTCCTCTCAATTCGCCTCACTTCTGAGGAGGAATGTAGTAGTTAGCTATGTGTTGTCTAACATACTCTGTGCCTATACCTGCTCCAGGTGCTTATTGAGAGCTTTCAGCTTCGCTGAGGGTGCACTTGGGTCTCATATGTGACTGTTCTTATTGGTGGCTGCCTTATACATTTTCCCACTAGTTATATATGGCACAACTGCTTGTTAGTGTCATGATCTAGATAGCTGGATTGCTACTTTGTTCTTTTGAGTGTTATGTGCTCGAGCAGGATGTTTTAGCTTTCCTCTCTTTTTTATATTTTCGACTCTACAACCTAACTGTGCATAAACTCCCATTATATAATGAAATTTACATACATTGGAGAGAAAAAACATTTGTTATTATAGCACACAATAAAGATTCTGGCACTTGATTGCCAGATGTATAAATTAAATACTGTAATGTCCTGTATTATTAATGATGGCAGTATTCAGTGTACAGTACTATTTTCTCATGGTGGAGGATGGGTTGGCTTCACTTACGTGACTACTCAACCCGTTGTCACACCAAGTCTATTCCATCCAGCAGTTGACCTCAAAGACACGTTCATCATTTTTAACATGCTTTTCATTCAAAATAGGAATTTTCTCAAATACAAATTAATATTGTTATTTATTAGCATACTGTTCATATTTAGGCATGGGTTAGGTTAGGTGTTTAGGTTCTGTTGGCAATTATTTATATATATAGTATGTGGATGAAGCATTTACTGCGTTGTGGTTCGAACAAAAGTCGTCAGCAAAGCACTTATTCGAGAAGTGTTCGAATGTCATCAGTTGAGAGTCATATGTAAACTGTTTTTCATTCATAAACAGGAGGTTTGGCAGATGCATTTAATGGACTTTGGCCTTTGTTTATAAGGATGGGCTGGACTACTTCACTCATATTCATTCATGTGACTGCTTCACTCATATTCACTTATGTGCCTGCTTCACTCATATTCACTTATGTGCCTGCTTCACTCATATTCACTTATGTGACTGCTTCACTCATATTCACTTATGTGACTGCTTCACTCATATTCACTTATGTGACTGCTTCACTCATATTCACTTATGTGACTGCTTCACTCATATTCACTCATGTGACTGCTTTACTTCATAAGTATGACCACTGCACTAGTGTGACAACTTCATTCATATGACTGTAACCACTTTGCTTCACTTGTGTCACTACTTCTCTTCACTTATGTGGCTGCCAAACCACCATGGAGGACTGTTTCAGGTTCTCACACAAGAAATCTAAGGAAAGTGCTTATAAATGCATGGAGAATAATCTACATTTTCATGTATCCATTTAAAAATAGATGTCAAGTGCTTTTGTCAAAGCACTTGACAAATTTGACCACTAAATATTTTACTTGCAGGGAGGCTACTCGGACAGTCGGGTGAATGGGTTGAACAATCCACGATGTAATGGATATATTAGGAGCCGGGATGAGCTGGAACCAGGTCTTCGTGCTGAAGCTCAGGTATGAAACAGCTGAGTTGTCTGTGTTTAATTACCTAAGTGCAGTTACAGGATGAGAGCTACGCTTGGGGTGTCCCATCTTCCCAGTACTCTTTGTCGTATAACGCTTTGAAGCTACTGACGGTCTTGGCCTCTACCATCTTCTCACCTAACTTGTTCCAACTGTCTACCACTCTGCAAAAGAAAACTTTCTAATATTTTGTTGGCACTTTTGTTTCCTTAGCTTGAAACTATGATGCTATGACTTGAAACAATAAAAGGTGGCCACACACAGTCAGAAGACATCGCCACCACCCTTCCTCCCACAGCATTACTCCTCCCTCCATGGCGCACAGCGCTAAATATCACCACAATCCTGCTATTATCAGAACCCTGGTCAGTTTTATCAGTCAGGGGTCTTCTGTAATAATATCATCGCTACATAATAGCATGAACAAGTATATTATGGCATTTTTAGGCGATGCTGTGGTCACAAGCTGAACAGCAGTGCTGTTAGCTCATGCTGCGTGCGTCAGGCTTGGTAGCTCACTCAATACTGAGGGCCTAACACCCGGGAGTTTGGCCCATGATTTTTTTTTTAAATGGCGTCTGTTTACAAGAGCCCTGATGAAGGTGTGGTGAACCCCGTGTATCCGCGGGCCATTTAAAACTTGCGTAGTACTCCAACACGTCATATGACGTGATGCGCAGTTGACTGGAACAACTTCCAACACGTCATATGACGTGATGCGCACTTTAAGGGTTAATGGTTCTAACACGAATCTTCTCAATATTCCTTTTGTTTTTCTTCACTGTCGAGGGAAGTTGAAAAATTAACTCTCCAAAATTAATTTTCTCAATTTATTATGGTCTGATGCCTAGTGATGTATTTTACACGGTACTCATAACATTTTCAAAGACAAGTTTACCATGCTTTTGCAAAGGCTTATATTCTCTTGGGGTGAGGTGATACAGGAAGTGATTGAGGTGAGCAAGTGGATGAATGTCATAACATAAGGGATATTAATAGTCTATTACATGCATCAACATAAGCAGCTTATGTTCTTGCTGCTCCTGTCTCTGTGTTGGCTCGGGACCTTGACTACTTTGAGGTGGATAGAATGTAATTATGTGTTAACTGATTGTTGATTGCTGGTGTTGACGTTTTGATGTGTAAGACTTTGCTGATGTCCAGTCTTCTGTTATCGTTATACCTGTTGATTATTTCAGTGTTGCTTGTTAAGATGTCTCTGGTGATGGTCTGGTTGTGTGAGGAGACTATATGCTTTTTGATGGAGCCCTATTGCTTGTGCATTGTCAATTGCCTAGAGGGAGACGTTGTTGTCTTGCCTTTATACTAAGATATTTGGGGCTGACACTCCCCAAGTGGGCATGTGAAGGCATAGACGACGTTGGTCTCTTTTTAGGCATTCTGTTTGGTGTCTGGAGAGTTCTTCATGAGTAGGTTGGTAGTTTTTTTTTTTTTTTTTGTAGTAAATTGTTAATTGTATCTTCTGATTGGTGTCTGTGGGGATAACATTCCTAACAATAATATTTTTCAGAACTCTTTCCTCCGTTATATAAGCCGTGAAAAAGAAGTTCCTGTAAAACAATCTAATAGGAGGTACAGGTGTTGTGTTGGTTGATTCTTCAGAGTTTGTGTGGTATGTCACCTTTCTTTTAATGACGTCTTCAACATAAACTGATAGAGAAGCCATTATTGACTAGGATCTGCCTTACTCTACAGAGTTCCTCGTCGACCTGCTTCCAACAAGAGCCGAGAGTGAGAGCTCGGTCGACGTAGGCGTTGACAACACTCCACTTGTACCTGTCTGGGCAGTCACTATTAGCATTAAGGCACATTCCTATGTTCATTTCCTTAGTGTAGACTGCAGCATGAAAGCCTCCATTCCTTTCTGTGACTGTCACATCTAGAAAGGGCAGCTTCTCATTGCTCTCCATCTTGTAAGTGAAACTTATGATCAAATTTTGCCTGAATACCTTCTTCAACTGCTGCAAACTTCCATCATTAGGTACCTGCATAAATATGTCATCAACGTACCTGCAGTATATGGCAGGTTTTAATTCCATGTCTATTAAGACCCTCTGCTCTAAGGTACCTATGTAAAAATTTGCGAACAAGACACCTAGGGGACAACCCATGGTGACCCCATCCACTTGTTTATACATGTGCCCATCAGGACTTAAGAAGAGTGCCTCTTTAGTGCAAGCTTCGAGTAACTTTCTCAGTATGCTCTCTGGTATGTTTAGAGGGGTACAAGCCAGATCACAATACACTCTGTCCATCATCATCCTGATTGTTTCATCCACGGGTATGTTGGTAAACAACACCTCGACATCCTGAGAGGCTCTCATCCCCATTGCACGTGCTCCCCGCAATAAGTCAACAAATTCCTTTGGAGACTTTAGGCTGAAAGCACAAGGCACATAAAGAGTCAGCAGGCAGTTGAGTTGCTGAACCAGTCTGTATGTGGGTATGGGTATCTGGCTGATGATTGGTCGAAGTGGATTTTCTTGTTTTTATTATTATTATTTGGCACTCTTCTTTTGTTTAGGATTTAGTAAGATGTCTATAATACTTAATAAAATACATTTAAAAGAATACAATAAAATATGCTTATTGAATCAATGACAACTTTAGCATTTATTCAAAAGTAGCATTGTTTTTAAAATATACCGTATTTAAAAGGTAATAATCTTGCTGTGTAAGCTAAAAATAGCTGTGCTGACATTATAGTAATATAATTAAGTGGACAATTAACCTTATTTGTAAAAATCTATACATTTGATAATGCTCTTAAGTTACTAATTGTTAACTTTGTTTGCAGAGCGGATCAGAGGAAGAAAATGAACGGCTCGTAATTTGTGCAAGCAGCAGTAATGGTTCCATAAGCAGGAGTGCAGTTTCCAAGGCCCATCAAAACCATCACCAAGAGTCGGGGAAGCAAGTTGGTGTGGGAGAACAGTGTAGCCAGTCTCCTTCAGGCATATCACCCCCATCACCAATACTCCAACACAATCATAGTGTAGCCTCTAAGGAAGACTTTGCTGACCTTACCAACCTCACAACTCTGAGTGACAGTGAAGGGGGAATGGAGCAGGATGCAACAATGGTGGTGGGAGATACAGGTTATCACCATGTAAACAAGCCACACCAGCACAACCACCCCCAACACAACACAGGTGCAACGAGAGCATCGTCCCCGCGACCCCCACTGACAACGGTGCAGTAGCTGCAATGGTTCCTGGGCTTAATTCCCATCTACCTTCCCTCGCAGGCCCCTGTCACCGAGACACTCCTCTGGTCTGATGCGGGTATTCATACGTATACAAGGCCTGGCCCAGCTGCTGCGGTGGTATGTGGCAACCGTGCCCATCCAGCCCACAGTGGACTTGATGCGTGTGCCTTGACCCAAGTGTACAAATGTTGTCAGTGTGGGTACTTGAGACCATCAAATGAGCGGGGCTGGGTCAGGCACCCCACTGTAGCCACTAACAGCTAGTTGTTGTTTGGTGTTTACATTGTAAGCATTGTGGATATGGCTCTCAGTCACACAGTTTTGGCTCAGTGTTCCCTGACAGACAAGTCACGGTATAGTATACTTTTCGAGACTGATTGAAAGGAGTACAAAATGATTATATTTCCTCTCATTTTATCTGTAAAATGTGACTCGAGAGCTGTGTCCAGGGTGCTCCCTCATTTCTCTGACAACAAGGTATCAGGGATTATCCTGGCAAATAACGGCATGCCTGCAACTCCACCCCTTCCCCCACTACCCCCACCACCACAACCATCACCACAGCCCCAAAGATCCCTCTCACGTCTTCACAACCTCAGTGTTTTGCCATATTTGTATCAGGGATGGTAATCTCTTCTCACCTCTTTTGATAAGACTGTAAAACAACTTTGATTCTGATATATTTAATTTGTCTGCTGTTTATATAACATACAGTAGTACAAGAGTAATGGGTTATTAATACTTTATGCATAAATCAATTTTAGGCAGCAGTCACGTTATAACATTTGTTTTGTTTTTTTACTGTTGAATCATTACAGTCTGAATTCAGGGAGAATCATACCAAGAGCATCTACAAATTGCAGGAAGAACACATGCAGCGCATACATCATTGCAGTAGCTACCTGAACAATTCTACAGGTTTAGTCCTCATGGTGGGTGAAGGATCTAACATATATTGTTCTGCAAAGTTAACTGAAAATCATGTGTAGCTTTCAAAGTACTCTGATGTAGACTCTTATCTAATGATAAAATAATTCTCAGCGTGCTGTTCTCAGTTAATAAATTACTGTGATATAATATTTAATAAAAATGTGGTAGCTAATTCCAGTTTCTTACAAAGAATGCAGTTTTCAAATTGCAATAGCCAAAGTTCATTCAGTGTTAACAAGGTAATACTCACTCAGGCCTATATACTAGATATACACTGGAATGACGCAGCATCAATAATGCCAACTGATTGATGTGTTTGAATACATGGGTTTGTTACTTAAAATATGTCTTTACTCATTATATATAAGAAAACATTTTAGCAAGTAATGAGTTCCCCCATATTTATATTTATTGATTTATAAATTCCGTGAGAGACTGGCATAAGCTTACGTCATGAGCATCAGTTGTCATATTACATCATGCGTTCCACTTAACTCTAATTAATATATATATATATATATATATATATATATATATATATATATATATGTTGTACCTAGTAGCCAGAACGTCGTACTCGACCTACTATGCAAGGCCCGATTTGCCTAATAAGCCAAGTTTTCCTGAATTAATATATTTTCCCTAATTTTTTTCTTGTGAAATGATAGAGCTACCCATTTCATTACGTACGAGGTCAATTTTTTTTTATTGGAATTAAAATTAACGTAGATATATGACCAAACCTATCAAACCCTACCTAACCTAACCTAACCTAACTTTATAGGTTAGGTTAGGTTAGGTAGCCGAAAAAGATTGGTTAGGTTAGGTTAGGTAGGTTAGGTAGTCGAAAAACAATTAAATCATGAAAACTTGGCTTATTAGGCAAATCGGGCCTTGAATAGTAGGCTGAGAAGTGCGTTCTGGCTACTAGTTACGACATATATATATATATATATATATATATATATATATATATATATATATATGTCGTACCTAGTAGCCAGAACGCACTTCTCAGCCTACTATGCAAGGCCCGATTTGCCTAGTAAGCCAAGTTTTCCTGAATTAATATATTTTCTCTAATTTTTTTCTTATGAAATGATAAAGCTACCCATTTCATTAAGTATGAGGTCAATTTTTTTTTAATGGAGTTAAAATTAACGTAGATATATGACCGAACCTAACCAACCCTACCTAACCTAACCTAACCTATCTCTATAGGTTAGGTTCGGTTAGGTAACCAAAAAAGTTAGGTTAGGTTAGGTTAGGTAGGTTAGGTAGTCGAAAAACAATTAATTCATGAAAACTTGGCTTATTAGGCAAATTTGGCCTTGCATAGTAGGCTGAGAAGTGAGTTCTGGCTACTAGGTACGACATATATATATATATATATATATATATATATTTATATATAATTTATATATATATATTTATATATATATATATATATATATATATATATATATATATATATATATATATATATATATTTATATATTTATATATTTATATATATATATATATATATATATATATATATATATATATATATATATATATATATATATATATATATATATATATATATATATATATATATATATATAATATTTCATTTACATTTGTTTATGTGGTATGATTTAAACTACCATCCAAAACTTTGCGATGAATTTTTAAACGAATCATTTTGATCCTTCACCCACAATTCACATTGCATTCCATACAGACTTCTGATTAGTGGTGCTGTGGTACTTATCGAAATTGCCGCCAATTAGTGATTACAAGTTTAGCAGAAGGTTGGTAATGGGCACTAGCAGACGGTGAATGACTGCATTGCCTACTTCTGCGTGTGATGTGACAGTTGCTGCAGCATAGTGTACGGGCACTCGGGATGAACGAAACATTGAGGAGCTTCATCTGTCTTTGTTTTATGTTAAGTCATTGCTAATGCTGACTACCAATTGTGTTTTTGACTGACTGGCAGCAATTTTGAGTAGTACATGTGTCATCCGCCTCTCAGTGAAGAGCCCGGGCTAACCTCTCCTCCCAGTGCATTGCCACTAGTCCACTCATGGCCATCTGTTTAGCCCTGATAATCTGCTGTAATCATACTACTAGAAGTGTTGATAATGCAATCAATTGAATTCTCAGGCTGTCTTCAGACAAAACCTTTTAATTTTAAATTGTGAATAGAATAAAAAATAACTTGTTTGTACCATTTACCAGTGAAAGTTTTCAAATACTTTTTGAACAGCCTTTTGAACTAATTTGCCTTATGAAATTGTTCAAAAATTCAGGGCAAAAGGTGTGTGTTTGCTAGGGTAGGTCCTGGTATCAGTGTGGCACCATTGGTGAATGCTGGAGCCTTCCTGCAGTGTCAGGGTGGGGGTTCAGCCTGGTCGCTCTCCTGCGTGCATGACGTAGCTGACTGTCTGAGATGGGAGTTTCATACATAAGACTTATTTTAATATTTAGTACAAATCATATTCCATTTACTAACTATATACACTGGTTAACTCAATCCCTAGTAGGACTATTGAAACAGTCTCAGTGCTTTTCTCAATCTGCAGTTGTACAGATTGTAATAAGTCAACCATGCAACACTCTGTGCAGTCAGACCACTGCTCTCAGCTGTAATTAAAAACCATCTTGGCTTTGTATCAAAGCCTAGGACTAGAACTGGGATGTGGTAATTGGGTGGCTTTGAAGAGCAGAAGATTGGCTGTGCAGAGTGATGCGAACCCCCTTCCTCCCAAGTAAGAAACATAGCTCAGGCTTTTACCTCAGTTACTGTGTGGAGCTCCAGTTAATGACAGCGTGCGGAGATACCCAATATACGTATTTGTTGCCCACTGATGAATATTGTCCTTATTATTATTATGAACTTATGTTTATCTCGCTGCTAAGTTAGTTTTGTTAGCAGAAAGGGTGCCAACATTAGCGGCTCAGGTGAGGGATACTTTGCACTCTACTTCCAGCCACCCAGAAAATGATGGCCCACAACTGCTCACAGTACACAACTATGCTAAAAAGTATGATTCAGAATTTTTATTATATATGTATATATACCTCACCTTATCAAAATGTCTGATGTACATATGAACCTTTTGCCAGAAATTTATATGTATGAGTTTAATGATTGTTCAGTATAGAATTATTATAGTGATTGAGTGGACCAGGGTGCAGCTGGATGGACTGTGCAGAGGAAGAGCCCTGCTTCATGCACATGTTTTCTACCTCATAGAGGGCGCAGGTCAGGTGGGGCAGGGACCTGCTGTTTACTCTCTCTTGTTGAGAAGTCAAGTGGGCAGGCTCTTTGGGTTTGTTTCTCAGGGAGCTCAATGTACAAACACTACACTCCACAGTGTCTGCCCACTTGCCCTCTTATGCCAACCCTCTACCTCCTTCCCCTCTCTTGTCCATCCCTCTTCTTGTTTTCCTCTCCTCCTTCCTACCTCCCTCTTGCCCATCCCTTCTCTTTATCCTCTCCTCTTTCCCTCGTGCCAATTCCTTTTCTTCTATCTCCTCTCCTCCCTTCTTCCTCCTTGTCCCTTCCTTTTTGTTCCTTTTTGCCTAAAACCCAAGCCTAAGTCCCCCTATCCTTCTCCTTCTAATCACTATACACAATGAACCCTACATGCCATAGTCTCAAAGCAGTTCCTGTCACTACCTCCAGACAGCGCACGTACATCCCACCCAGCTACCATGAATTAAACAATTTCTGTTATATCTCTCTGTCTCTGCTCTTTGTATTTTTGTATGCAGCCCTCATAGAATTCCTCTGTAAATGATAGATATGAATTACGTTATTGTGTCCATATTCTTTGTATATTCACGAATTTTTATTTTCCTAATATCATGCTACCTCGTTCTTTTGTATGAGTGAACATTTAGCATTGCATCTCCTGTGCTGCATGTGTATGATAGCTCAGTAGATGAAACCGCTCCTCTGCCACTCCCTCGTCCTCAGCCAAGAGCGCATTAACACCGCTACTTCATGATAACCAGTCATTATTTTGTCAGTAGGATGTATCTTGTATATCATGTTTTATTATGATCCCATTGCAAACTGGAAGGCAATGCAGGCTGCCCTCAGCTGTCTCCATGTTCCCTTCTGTAAAAGTATGCCATTGGTCATTCTAAAATGCAGTACAGTAGTTTGTTTACAGCTAGGGCAGTCTCCCATGCCTTTAATAGGGTAATGTAACAGAATTGGGGATTTTCAATAAGACTCATATGCTATTACAACATAGGATGTAAGCCTTCTTAAAAATTCAAAATATTTGTGTATTACTCCAGCCAGTTGGGGTTGGATCCCTTATCCTACAATGCCCCTTCATTTATAGTAGTTTTAAGATATCGTACAAGTTAACATGTACACAGGGTTGGAATACATTTTGTACAATAATTTAATGTATTGAGAAATGTCTTGTGCTCATTTCTATTTGTAAATATTGTAGTAACACTACTTAACATGTACAAGGTAGTGGAAGTTATTGGCTTAGGTAGAAGTGAGCTAAAGTTAAGCCTGTTATTTGCATACTACTGGTTGATTACGGTATGGCTAAAGCACAACAAGGTGATAGTTTCCAGCACCATCTTGGCAAGGGAGAAACCCACAAGACGTGTGCATTGCTCACCTTTTAGGAATACCAGGTGTTATTTCAATGTGATTCGTTTTAATCATGAAATGGAACATACAGAAATTATACTGCTATGCTAAAATCGGTTGAGCAAGTTGCAGATGCTGGGTTAAAGAGCAGAATCTTCTGTAACTCATCTCAAAATGGAATGGGCCTTTGAACCAGCAGACCTGGCAACTAAACATAGTTGAAAGACAAACCTGGAACAATACTCCTTTACCTGGAGTATCTCTCGCACGAGGTACTTTCTGCCAACGTCAATTTGATTATCACAATGTACAAATCTATTAGGAGGTGCTACAGTCAAGTGCTCAGTAGGTAGGCCTATTTCAGATAGCCTAGTCTGTCCTCCACCTGGTCCACCTCCATTGGTTATTTGGTCCATCTTTATTAACTATTGACTTGGTTTCCATTTGGTTATTTAATAAAGTAATTTTGGCCCGGTGTCGGATATGTGGTCTGCTATTTAGTCAGATGGTGCTCCATGTCATCCTCTGACCGCTTGGTCCCTGTGTGGTCACTTGGTCCCTGTGTGGTCACCGGGTCCCTGTGTGGTCACCGGGTCCCTGTGTGGTCACCGGGTCCCTGTGTGGTCACCGGGTCCCTGTGTGGTCACCGGGTCCCTGTGTGGTCACCGGGTCCCTGTGTGGTCACCTGGTCCCTGTGTGGTCACCTGGTCCCTGTGTGGTCACTTGGTCCCTGTGTGGTCACTTGGTCCCTGTGTGGTCACCTGGTCCCTGTGTGGTCACCTGGTCCCTGTGTGGTCACTTGGTCCCTGTGTGGTCACTTGGTCCCTGTGTGGTCACCTGGTCCCTGTGTGGTCACCTGGTCCCTGTGTGGTCACCTGGTCCCTGTGTGGTCACCTGGTCCCTGTGTGGTCACTTGGTCCCTGTGTGGTCACCTGGTCCCTGTGTAGTCACCTGGTCCCTGTATGGTAATTTTGTTTTCACATAAACAATGACTAAAGGGATAAGTCTACTCGTGTAGTCATTTGGCTTTCTAAGTGAGTTTACTTTGATACCTGATTCCTTGGACCTCCACTTTGCCATTTGGTCTTTTATATGATTACTCATTTGTAACCTGATGTTTTGGACCTCCACCTGACCCCAGGGTTCAACACTTAATCGCTGGTCCTACCGCCCTTTTCACTACCAAGCCACTTACAAGATGCAATATAGTTGCTGTAGATTCATAAGATCTTCTCTCTTATTTTATTACCAGGACATATTTGGCTGGACTGCATTTTATGCTAAGCTAAGATTGCCATGGCCACAATTAAAATGTGCCGTGTTATGATTATTTAGAGATCATATACCGGTAATTTAATATTGCAGTAAAAGCCATAGTGTCCCAATGTTCTCCCCCATTTTTTTTTTAGGTATAAAAAGGCTGATATTTAAAAAGAATAACAAACCTGTAATACCCAAGACAACTTGGCCATTCTGTCCAACAACATATGAAATGAGCACACTGGGGAAAAATAAGCTATTGTAACTTTTGTGTGGTATAGTAGCTTATGTATGTAAGAAAGCCTATGGTGTGAGAATCTATGGACCTCATATTCCAGCTCTTCAATGTGTTATAGTGGATAACAATAGTCTTGAAATCCATTATTAGCCCTCTATTTCGTTGTTGATGCTGAGCATAAAGTTCAATTATTTCAGAGAGTTGAGCATGTCTTTTCTTCAGTACTAGAAGATTTGATATATACCACTGGTTCCCAAAGTGGGGGCCATGGCCACCTGGGAGGCCTGTTTGCAATATGTAGGTAGTCATAAGTTGAGGCAGTGTACAGGTTATGATACCAGGGGGTACCTATACCTTTTAGTGGCCATAATAAGAATGCTATATGAAAGCTGGGTAATGACCATAAAGAGTTTGGGAACCACTGATATATACGATCCTCTAATATAGCTGAATAACTACAATTGTGCGTGTCAGGCCCAAAACTAAAACTTAAGATTCAAACACCAAAGGTAAATATTTTAAGAGATCTGATGTTGTGTGTATGGCGCTTACATATTTATGACAAGATTAGTGATGACAAGCCTTATAAAACATTCACTTAGGCAGTTAAGCCTCAATTAAAGAGATTCTTACCTGATTGGACTATGATTAAAGAGCTAGAAATCTGTGATCTTGTGATAAACTTGTGTCAGTCTGAAACTATTGTATAATATTTAACCGCATAGCTCAGGTTGTCAGTGTTGTGGTTTTCATCAAGTTTTGCCGAATGGTACCAACAATCACTACTTTGGATAACGAATACAAGATATTTCGTCAAGAACAACAACTGACTAGGATTATAATTGCTCATGTAGACAAGGACGTCAGTAGTGACTAGGGTAATGAAAGACTGGTGGGGCAGGACAACGTGCTAGTCACCAAACTCGTGGAAGTTGAGTCTCCAGATGTCAAGGCAAGTGGAATGAACCTAGTTAAGTTTTGTCTATTAGCACTTCCTGTCCCTAAATAATTTCAGTTTTATCATTTTGGGGGATGGGGAGGGAGGGGGTTATATCAGGCTTATATCTTAGTTGCTGAACTACATGATGAGCCTAATTTGACTTCCACAAAACTGTTGAATAACCTTAGATTTAACAGACCAGTTTTCCATAGAAAGCAGGGGACAAATTGCAGCAGATAATTTTAATTGTATACCTTACCCTACCTCGTAGGTGATGTCTTGACTTGCGACCTCAGTAAACACAACAGTTTTTGTAATTTATTTACTTTATTTGTCATTTGTGTGAGTGTTGGTATGAATATGACCCTATATAGTAATGGCAATAATGAAAGGTTAATTGTGAATGAAGCAGTATTTGTAGCCGCGGATATTTTATTAATGTATCCCATGTGCATGCACGCATGATTAAAGGTCTTAAGCTGATCACTCCTGTATGATTGTTACTGACTTTGCTGATGAGGACATCACTGTATTTGATATTTTTTTCATAGCTATACAAGTCAAATAAATTAGTCTTTTAGTAAAAATTGGAGTACACTAGATACAAGGTGGTGTTGGATTACCCGTGTTTTATTAGCACCTGTCGACACCACCTCAGCATCTAACTTCATTATAGAGTACATATATCAGGTTATTTTTGTACCAGAAAACTATGGCCTCCTCACTCATTCTATTTTGATTTGCCTTGTTTTTCATTACTGTATTATCAAGTGTTTGAAATTTTTTAGTAGAACACTTTCAATAGTTCCTGCCCCTCCTTTGAATGTGTAGCGAGGCGCAGCAAAGCAGTACCTGCAACCAAACAGGTATATATATATATACATATATAATATATTTATTTATATATATATATACTCCAAAACCAGTGAAACTCCATTCCGGTGATACTTTATTTGTTCCTAATGATGGTCGTCCCAGTAAATGCTCATTCTTGGAAAGTGTGAGGAGGCTGAGGCATCTTGCACATGGAGATACAGCCTAACTACGTTAGTCCCAGGTTTATCACTGGTCAACTCTGTAATAACCGACAAATTGTTAACACAGGCAGTCAGATGTCATCATTTACCTAAGTGATACGAATGTTGAATGTAATTGGGATTAACGAGTTTAGACTTAAATTACAATACAAGTCCTTGGTTATGATGCAGACCTTGGCTAAGGCTTCCAGGCGACAACAGCAACGGTGACTCCTTAGTACGTGGCCTCAGTATAGCATCGTTTCCATCAGAACACAAATTATTTGTACTGTGTTATATAATGAATCATTGCATAGACCTCTTTCAGACTGTTCCCAAAAAGATGATGAAAATAAAATACAATTACATAATACAAAATTATTATCCTTCACTCCTAAAGTATATTTTCTAGCTCTGTTGTATATAATTGGAATGTAAACTCTCCAGTGCATAATACCAGTACAGGAACACATTCTGTAGTTGAATATAAATACTTTATGCTGTCTATATTTTTGTTGTTTAGTGATTGCTAAGTACTGTACCTGAACTGGCATTAAAAGCTTTGTAAAGTCTAGGATTTAACACAATTTTGGATAAATAATTCAAACTCTTGTACAGTACTGTATATCACACTTATTTTCCTGTAGCAGTCTTACAGAGATTCTACTGTACCATTTGTAGTAATTATTAGAATATGTATTTAAGTGGAAAATATAATTTTTAAAGAATTGTTAAGCATAGTATTCCTTTCAGAAATTTTAAGACCAAGTCAGGTAGCTGATGTAACGGGTCGTCACCGTCTACTATCTTTAACAAAGATTTAAAGTTCAAGTTATATAAGAGCTTCCTCATTTTCTCTAAAATTCAGAAAAAGGAAAGGAAAGTTTAAGTCAATCCTTGCAGGATGTGAACCCATGGAGAAGGACTGTGGTGTATTTGATTATGGTATTGTAGCAACTATATTAAAAGAAGTAATATACTTGCTCTATACTTTCGTTAGGTTAATGACAGATAATGAGATAGAGATGGATCTGTTAATTCAACATAACCTACGTGTTCCCCATTCCAAGAAGTTCTACATTAATTCTTGGTCCATTAATTACAATTAATATCTCTTCCAAAGGGTACAGGATCAATCAGGCCAAAGAGCCAGAGCTCAACCCCCACAAGCACAAATAGGCGAGTACAGATAACCTACCAGATGTTGATCAGTTTGGCCAAGGTGAGCGGAAGCTTGTAATATAAGTCCTCTTCAGCAAATCATGAGTCACACAGCACCGCTCCTGTGCCAGTGGGGGCTCACCATAGCCTGTGCTACTTGCCCCGCTCCTGTTCCAGGTAAGTTATGGGCTCACTATAGCCCGTGCTACTTGGAGCTTGTTCCGAGTAGCTGAATCTATAACAACAATCATGAGTCTAAACTCCAAGATTGGTAGAATACAGATGCTTGTACCACAGTATATGGTCTGTAAACACAATACAGTAAATAGGAAAATGTAAATTGAAGTTATTTATAATTTCTATTTCACAGTGATAAAATTAAATTATGCATTTCAAGTTAAATACAATCCAAGAGGTAGAGTATACTCCATTAGAGTATGGAGAGGGAAGATGTTGCATTATGTATAGTGTAGGTGGAGCAGTATGGTGGGGAAGGGGGGGGGATATTAACTAATGGAAGAGCAATGTAGAGTCAGTGAAAGGGGTGGACATTAAGTACTGGAGGTGCAGTTGTGGAAGATGGAGGCATCGTAGTCGAAAAGGAGGAGGTCGAGACGGTAAAGAACTAGCAGAGCATCAATCTGAGATGTTGACAGCTGGCACAGGAACCACATGGCTGCCTCCTCCGTTGACTCTCCTGTTGACCTGTTGATCCTCTTGGGTTGAATCACTTGGTTAATCCCTGATGGGCAGTGACGAGGAAAAAAATATCAGTTTTACAATGGCTTCCCATAGTCAGGTATGAAGCCTGGTTTGGCTTATTGAGTTTTTCCCTACACTAATGATTGATCTATCTCCAGGATGCAATCCACAACAGTTGCCTAACTTGAGGTATCTATTTGCTGCTAGGTGAACTGAGGAATCAAGTGAAATGAACTGTTGCCCAAACATCTCTACCCTGCCATGGGCATTGAGCCCCACTGCACTGACCACTGCACAACATTGCTGTTAATCAGAACAAGATCAATGTTTTTCAGAACACGACATACTGACCTATTACAGCATTACCCCATTCAGACCAAGATGGGAACGACATTAAGACCACCACAGTTGTTGACACTCAGACCACAGCATGCATTTGTACTCAAACTTTGATTAAAGTTGTTTCGACCTCAAAGAGGTGTTTGCACGCAGGGCACTACAGTTATTGGCATTCAGATTACAACTGGTGTTTGGACGTGGACCACAATAGATGCTGGCTCGCAGTGATGTGTGCTGGTATTCAGAGCAGGTCACGTGTGAACACTCAATACCACTACAGGTGTTAGTAATCAAACTATAACTCATTGACACTCAGATCAGTGCAGATCTTTTTATAGAATCTGGTATTGCCACTCAGACCATATGCATTGATACTTATGTCACATGATGGCTGTCAAAAGCATGACAGGTGTGTGCATTCAGACCAGGACAGATGTTAACACTCAGACCACGACAAGTGTAGATATTTAGTCACAGGACGTACCTGAAGTGAAGATGATATAGTTCCCGTCTTCCTCGAGTGTTTCCATCTACAGGGAGACAAAAAAAAGGGTCCGTTAAACCAAACTCTCACAAGGCACTTGGGGGGGAATAGAACAACTCCAAACACACAAACATGCTTAGACATGCTACTAAGTGGCTCCCAGAACTGAAGGGCAAGAGCTACGAGGAAAGGTTAGAGGCATTAAATATGCCAAAACTAGAAGACAGAAGAAAAAGAGGTGATATGATCACTAAGTACAAAATAGTAACAGGAATTGATAAAATCGATAGGGAAGATTTCCCGAGACCTGGAACTTTGAGAACAAGAGGTCATAGATTTATTTATTATTTTATTTATGCATATACAAGAATGTACATAAGGAATGTGAGGATACAATTATGGTAATTACAGTCTTGTAAAGCCACTAGCACGCGCAGCGTTTCGGGCAGGTCCTTAATCTAAGAAATTTTAAGGAGGTAAATACTTGCAAAATTTATAGACAAAAAAATGATAACAGATTACATGGAATGAAAAAAAAAAAGATGAGAGAAAATTATAGGTACAGTATATTAAAGCACATAGGTAGCTATGATTGATTGCAATGACAGCTTAAAATGGTAGTTGACAACAAATTGGTAGGCACAATACAGCAGAAACAATATAAGATTGATTGCAATGACAGCTTGAATGGTAGTTGACAAAAATTGGTAGTCACAATACAGCATATGGCTAGCACATAAAAGAAGACAGCAATGAACACAATGATAAGGTTGTTTGATATTACATAAAAATTAGGAGATTGGGTACCACTAGGTACAGAGCAAATTAAAGCTCAGTGTAGGAAACTAAATAGATGAAGTTAGGTACTTTTTGGTTTTGCTTTTAAATAAGGCAAAAGTTTTACAGTTTTTCAATTCACTAGGGAGTGAGTTCCATAGACTAGGTTAAACTAGCTAAACACAGATACTGAAGAAATATAAGAAAATTCACTTTCACAAACAGAGTGGAAGACGGTTGGAACAAGTTAAGTGAGAAGGTGGTGGAGGCCAAGACCGTCAGTAGTTTCAAAGTGTTATATGACAAAGAGTGCTGGGAAGACGGGACACCACGAGCGTAGCTCTCATCCTGTAACTACACTTGGGTAATTACTCACTTACACACACAACATAATTGGAGAGTAATGACATAACAGACAGACAGTTATGGGTTTTTTAACAGGAAGTTCCTGTATAACAAATCGATACTTTGTTTTTATGATTGAGCCACAGAGATTTTACAAGAAAAGAGATGGTTGGGTTGATTGTGTCTATCTGGACCTAAAAAATTGCTTTTGACAGTCCCACATATGAGGTTATGTTGGAAACTGGAACATACTGAAGGGTTGACGGAGACTTCTGACATGGATGAACATTTTGCTGACAAAGGTGGGGCGGTAATTAGAGACAATGTATCTGACTAGAGGAATGTTACTAGCCGAGTACCACAGGGTTCAGTTCTTGCAACAGTAATGTTCATCGTCTACATAAACGATCTAACAGAAGGAATACAGATTAATATTAACATGTTTGCTGATGATGCTAAGCTATTAGGGAAGATATGAGACTTAGATGATTGTCATGCCCTTCAATGACATTGATACCTGATTACCTGGTTGATAGGGTTCTGGAAGTTCTTCTACTCCCCAATAGTAGATAAAATCTAGTGCTTGATCTAGATAGATCTAGATAAAATAAGTGCTTGGAGCACCATGAGGCAAATGGAATTCAATGAGAATAAATGCCATGTTATGGAATGTGGAATCGGAGAAAATAGACCACACACAACTTACAAATTATGTGGAAAGGAATGAAAGAACTCTAAGCACATCAATAAACTGGAAAAGGTGCAACAGCATGTTGCAAAATGGCTTCCGGAATTGAAAAACAAGAGTTACGAGGAGAGGCTAGAGGCGTTGACCATGCCAAACTGGAAGATAGAAGAAAAAGAGGTGATATGATCACCACTTACAGAATAACAACAAAAACGATCAAATTGACAAACAGGAACCAAAGAAACCAGCAATTTCAAGAACAAGAGGATACTCATTCAAGCTTAGGAAACAAAGGTGCCGAAAAAAATATCTAAGTTTTCTTTTGCAAACAGAGTGGTTGACAGTTGGGACAAGCTAAGTGAGGTGGTAGTGGTGGAGGCCAAAACCGTCAGTAGTTTATGCTACAAAGAGTATTGGGAAGACAGGACACCCCGAGCGTAGCTCTCATCCTGTAACTACACTTGGGTAATTACACTTCTTTTTCCCTCTCTCACCTCACTGGCAAGGTGTGCGTATGATGCGGAGATGTCCTGTGAAATTAATGTACAGTAACATTGTTAGAATTACATCCCAGTATGGACGAGATAGAAAGACCTTGGCAAGAACGGCGAAGTCGACGAGACACGGGGTGCAGAAGGTAGTCTGTGGGATCCAGTGCATGTCCAGAGGCCGACCGCTCGCAGCCTCGTCCAGCACCCATTGGACGAACTGACTGAAAGATGGCGAGACAGCGCCCTTGGGAGGCTTCTTCCCATTAGTGACCTTCATGGGTACAGGGGGACCAAGATGCTTGTACTTTATTAATATACCCTTCATGACGTTCCTGTAAATTTCGTTGCCACTGAGAATTTTATTCCTGGAAAACAAAATACAGGATATTATAAATAAGTAATAAAAATATTAATATTAATATATACATACATACTTTAGGCATGTATCGAGCCCCCCCCCCCAAGGCCGAACTATTGACCCTCCTCCCCAGGATGCAACCCCAAGACAGTTGTCTAACTCTTGGGTACCTTTTTACTGCTAGGTGAACAGAGGCATTAGGTGAATGAAAACGTGACGAACCATTTCTGTCCCGCCCAGGAAATGAACCCACCGGGATCCCTGATTGTGAGCCGAGGATAAAGCCAACTGCACTCCGAGACCTCAGTTGTAGTGCTTACTGGACTACACAGTGTGTACTTAATTAACAGAGGCATGAAATCTGAGGGATGTTCAGTGCTCTTTGTGTCTATGTCATGACCAGACGCAACATTGAAATTTAAATTTAAATAAGTTTATTGAGGTAAAATACACACAAAGGGATGAGGTAGCTCAAGCTATTCTCACCCAGTTCAGTACAAAGACACATCACAAACAATAAACATATTACCGAACGTTCCGAGTAATAAATATATTAATTTCTTCGTTTACACAAGTACGTATGGTATCAGACGTACACACAAATACTTTTATGACTCGGACGCAACAGGAGGAGGGATACACCTGCAGACAGACACAACAGGGAAGGGACACACCTGCAGACAGACGCAACAGGGGAGGGACACACCTGCAGACAGACACAACAGGGGAGGGACACACCTGCAGACAGACGCAACAGGGGGAGGGACACACCTGCAGACAGACACAACAGGGGAGGGACACACCTGCAGACAGACACAACAGGGGAGGGACACACCTGCAGACAGACACAACAGGAGGAGGGATACACCTGCAGACAGACACAACAGGGTGAGGGACACACCTGCAGGCAGACACAACAGGGGAGGGACACACCTGCAGGCAGACACAACAGGGGAGGGACACACCTGCAGACAGACACAACAGGGGAGGGACACACCTGCAGACAGACACAACAGGGGGAGGGATACACCTGCAGACAGACGCAACAGGGGGAGGGACACACCTGCAGACAGACGCAACAGGGGGAGGGACACACCTGCAGACAGACACAACAGGGGGAGGGACACACCTGCAGGCAGACACAACAGGGGAGGGACACACCTGCAGGCAGACACAACAGGGGGAGGGACACACCTGCAGGCAGACACAACAGGGGGAGGGACACACCTGCAGGCAGACACAACAGGGGGAGGGACACACCTGTAGGCAGACACCAGACGCAGGAAGGGGTGTCTTGTGATCATAAAGGAGAGAGGCGGCGTGTCACCGTTCATCACCTCTTGTAGCTCTGCCACTGATGGTCTGTAAATCAGAGATATAATAACAATAATTCATTTTGTCGAGGAACAGGCAGTCAGTGTACATACACATGTTAGGCTTATATCTGGGTGATAACAGCTTAGATGTATATAACAAAGGGCAAATACTCGTTAATGCAGCCGCCGAACCCCCCGTTTATAAATTAAAGATTGTTTACACACAACTGATGACGTTCGAACAGAGGTCGTCAGTGAAGCACTGTTTAGTTGTGTGTAAAACATTTTTAATTTATAAAACACACTCAGGTTGAAGGAAAAAAATCAAGAAGATCGTGAAATCAAGGCAATAGAGCACACTTTGCCTCAGTGGGAAAGACAACCCACCTAGGGTACTTTCGACGCGCCAGCTGAATGGGGGAATCGTTGGACTTAAGGAGCTGTTTTTCAGTGTAACCAGCGAGGAGGTTGAAGTTCCAAAGCCAGGTGGAAGAGGCGGCCTTGAACACGTTGCACCACACCAGCCCGAATTCCCGGTTGATGAGGAACTCCCAAGCATTGATTTGATAATCTTTTGTGGGTTGGTCCAGCCCCTCCTTTGAACACATCTGTAGGAGTAGAGAGCGGGGGGGGGATGACAGCCATCATCTCTACCACAATGCCATCGCCCTTTCCACCACTAGTGTCACCAATGCCTTTGGAGGCGGACAAGAGGTCCCCGAGTCCGCGGGCGCGCTTTAAGTACCCCGCTAGAGCGCGCGCAACTTAGTCGGTTAGACACAAATTCATGGTAATACGTTTTCTTTCCACAGAAACTTTACCGCTTTGTAAAGCAGTGACTATATATTAATCACTATTGTCGTTGTCACCACAAAGACGGCACCACTCCCGTGCCAGGTAAGTCCACTACGGGCTCACCATAGCCCGTGCTACTTGCCCCGCTCCTGTGCCAGGTAAGTTACGGGCTCACCATAGCCCGTGCTACTTGGAACCTGTTCCGAGTAGCTGAATCTATAACAACGTTGTCACCCTTACCAACACTACTCGCCAGTCTGAGCACACAGTGGGCATACTCTACCCAGCATACCTGGCGGAGGTGTTGTCGCCTGGCCTCTAGACGGTGGAGAAGGTCCAGTGAGGTGTTCCAAGATGATGGTAATGTTACTTCTTCGATCTGAAAGGTTGACCAGGTTAACACTCAAGATAATCTTTGTTACATTACCATTAACAATTAATGAAAATGAGAAGCAATTCTGAAGTTAGCACAAATATTTGACTTGTGAATAACTGATTTCTATAAAGATTGATAATTATGTCGGAGGTAGGACCTTCTTGTAAGGGTCACATCGTACACAAAACGGTTCGCCAACGGATTTTAAAGCCGTCCGTCCGCCTTATCGAACCTGTTTGATACCTGTATGAACACTTTATTAACAGGAGCCCGCCATTACAATTAAAAATCCCCTTGCGAACCTAGTCGTGTTACGGAACGCTATCAAATTAAGTGTTAATTCGTCGCACCATAATATGTGTTAAACTTTTTCAGAGACGTAAATGAAGCCGACACTAGTTGGAGTGTGGTTGTAGTTTTGGACTGGCAATTAGTGGGAAAGGAACGAACCAATCAGCGTCACCGACTGGACGTCAGCCAGGCAAGGTTGACAGTGGTTAATCTGGGCACAGCAGCTGGTCTCTGCTCGCTGTCCATAGAGGAATATACTTCAGTAAGAGCTCCACCTCGTCATCAGTGCAGCCTCACCACACTTGGAAGAGTCCCTTATCTACACAGGACAATTGACGACCCTGGATGACGTAGTATTAAATATCGAAAAATGTGCGACAGTGTTGTGTTATAAGACTTCTAGGAGTACGGGTTTCGTGGTGTAAGACTACAAAGTGATCCATAATTAGTCGGTGCTGGTTCGTGATGCGAATATAACTGGTTGGTGACGGTAGTTGATATTGTACAGTATATAAAAAAAAGAGATGGACATTTGCATAAGATAAAGAAGATATAAGAGATATTTTTTTGTTTAATGAAATCGATTTAGTATTTTATCTTCCCCCTCCCTCCCCCCACCCCAAACAAAATTAAGAGGTATTCTCTTAGGATCCAGGGTCCAGCCTTAGTGTGTCGCACCTGACAACGGGCCAATTGTTCTATCAAAATCCACATGAAGACTTCTTAGCGGATGCAGAGAATAAACTACACCACTGAACATGTGATGTTCTCTAGGAGGAGGTTACATCCCAACATTTGCTACATTTATTCTAGGCAGAATACTCCACATAAACAGGACAGCTTGCAAGATCAACACAATAAATAAATGTTTATTCAGGTAAAAGTACATACATTCAAGATGAGTTACAAACAATGTTGGATTTCAAGATAAGAGCTAGTACATACTATGCCTAAAGCCACTAATGCGCACAGCGTTTCGGGCAAGATGTGGGAAAAACACTTTGACTAAAACTTAAAACTAATTGAGATCAAAGCATAAATTGAATTGAAAAAAGTAAACGAAGAAAAAAGAATGATAATTACATGATGGATGGAACAGCAGAAATTGAAACGGAACAGCAGAAGTAATTTTAACTAAAACAGAAGACTACAATTTTCTTCAAGTTTATACATGGTGGATATCGGCAGTTAAACAAGTTGGTCAATAATCACTATTGTTTGCAAAATAGCAATACATAGGTTGACATTTTGGAGGTAAGGTAGGTTACATGTAGTTTATTAGGTAGTACTTAGGTTTTCTCTTCAACTGGTTGAGAGAGGGACAGTCTTTGGCATGATTGGGAAGATCATTCCACATTCTGGGTCTCTTGATTTGCAAAGCATTTCTAGTTTGCTTAAGTCGCACTCTTGGACTATCGAATAGGTATTTGTTTCTAGTGTGGTGCCCATGGGTTCTGTTACAACCTTCTAGTAAGCGTTTACGGTCAGGATTGGCATTACGGTTCAGAGTTTTATTTATGGTACACTTGAGAGGATGTGCAGTGACTTAATATCTAACATATTCCAAGATTTAAGTAAGGGGGGCCTAATGCTGTCTGGGACCAGAGTTTATTGTTCTAATAGCAGATTTGTGTTGAGAAATTAGACGACGTAAATGATTTTGGGTAGTAGACCCCCAAGCACAGATAACATAATTGAGATAAGGATAGATGAGAGAGTAATAGAGCATTACCACGGCAGGGCGAGGTACTTAACATCTGATTTTAGAAAGAATGCCAACTGTTCTAGAAACTTTTTAGCTATACTTTGAATGTGGCCTCTGGAAATTCAGCTTATCAATGAAAACACCAAGGAATTCACCATCTACTGATTTGGATAGTTAATTCTTAGATTAATTTCATCTGAGGATTAAACAGGTCGCCCACCTGACTGGACTCTCTAGTGTGAAAGGTTGAATCTTTCACACTACTCCACCCACACGTTATCCTCTTAGGGAAGCATAACGGAATCATCACAGTATACTCTTATGCTCCCTAGACTGCACAGAATATTTACATATGAAACCAGTGACACTTAAAAATGAGAGAGTACTTATCCAGCACAATAATCTCACAAACTCCAGTACAGAATCCAGAATGCAGAGAAACCTCCACCCTCACCTCAGCAGTCTTCATAACACCACACTGTAGTGTCACGCAGAAAATCACACTGAGGGGGAATTGTCTCACACTGAGAAAATTGAGGGTTACATCCTGGGGAAGGTCAGAAGTTGGCCTAGGACGGGGAGGAAGACCATGATAGGCCTACATAGAGCCTTCCTGTTCCCGACAGCGGGAATTATTAAGGCAAGAGTTCCCTGTTTACCTGGGCACGTGTGGTTGGTAACTCACCAGGTTCTTGCCAGGTTTGTTGAGGAGCTTCACTCCACCCGAGCTCTTCTCTGGCTGTAAAACACGAATAATTTAATCGATCACTGGACAAGAAATGACAAACACACAGGGATATATGCATGCAGATACGGTGACGCTCGCTTGTTCTACCCGGAGTGCGCCCAAGGTGGACAAGGACTGGACGAGTCCCAGTGTACGAACGGAAAAACTGTACGTCCTCCACTGTATAGTAATATGTTGCAATTCATGAAAGTTACAGTATAAGAAGTTTGTTACTAGCTGTCATTATAATTATATGGTGGGTAGATACAGTGCAATTAATAATGTAACATTTGCTTAAGTCTGATTAAGACATTTTGTGCCCTCTGTAACCCTGTTTTCCGCTATAGCTCACATGATGAGTATAGGATCCAGAATTACAATGAAGAGGCAAGAGCATTATACTCACGGATTGACGGTGGGAGATGGGTTTGAGAGATGGGGAGAGGAATGATGAGAGTGGGAGTGTGAAGAGCACCAGGGCCAGTAAGTAGACTATGAGGAACATGAGAACTGCATACCATAACCTCATGCTCCTGCACACAGCCCGGACTATCATAGTGGGCACTACATACTTGAGCCCCTCCGGTCTGCAGGAGGAGGGGGCTCGGGGGACCACCCGCCCCCTGCTGTTCCCTGCTGCTGTCCAGCTGCTCTCTGCTGCCTTAACTCGCCTCTCGTCACTCATAGTTTACCTACTTCTCCTTCCCCTCACTGCTGCAGGTGGGGCAGTAAGCCCTCGGACGAGGCAGAGGACGCTTGCTCAAGGCGGAGATATAAATGAGAGGTCTCTCTCTCGGCCGCTCTCCACCACACTGAAAAAAATCATAACAAGATAAGTACAAAAAAATGTTTTAATACAAATCCATTTGTATATATATACACACACACTCACTGGGGCCTCGCAGCAGAGTGGACAGCACTCTGGGGTCGTAGTCCTAAGGGCCCGGGTTCGATCCCCGGCGGAGGCGTAAACAAATGAGCAGTTTCTTTCACCCTGGTGCCCCTGTTCCCTTTCAGTAAATGGGGACCTGGGAGTTAGGCAGCTGCTACGGCCTGGGGATATGTGTTTGTGTTAGCGAGAAATATATGTAGTAGATATAATAGAATAAAAATAAATTAGTTAGAAACCAGAAGTCCACAAGCAAATAGATCGATTCTGCAGATACAAATAGCAAATACATACAAAAGGAAACCGTAATGGTTCAGAAGTTTGCAACAAGGTTCGTCCCAGAATTGCAAGGGATGAGGTATGAAGAGAGACTGAAAGAACTAAACCTGACGACGCTAGAAAAGAGGATTGAGGGGAGGGGCACAGTATAATACTTAGGGGGGGAGTGACAGGGTGGAAAAAGAGGAAATGTTCACACTGAACACCCATAGTACAAGCTAGGGGACACGGGTGAAAGATGCTAGAAAGTTTTCTTTAGCGTAAGAGTAGTCGGGAAATGGAATGAACTAAAACAGGTTGTGGAAGCAAACTCCATTCATAATTTTAAAAGTAGATATGATACAGAAATAGGTCAGGTGTCATCAGGCAACCGGCGGATGGAAAAGCGGTGTCTAGAAGCCAACGCGCGATCCTGCAGGCACATACAGGTGAGTACACCTTCAGTAAAGCCCCGTGTAGGAATAATCCTGGAAAAAATGAAAACAGATAACTGGGAGTTTGCCAGCTGTTGTGGGCTGCAGCCTGGGAATGTATGTGTGCGTGGGTGTATACTCGCCTAGTTGTGCTTGCGAGGGTTGATCGAGCTCTGGCTCTTTGGTCCCGCCTCTCAATTGTCAATCAACTGGTGTACAGGTTCCTCAGCCTAATGGGCTCTGTCATATCTACATTTGAAACTGTGTATAGAGTCAGCCTCCACCACATCACTGCCTAATGCATTCCTATTTGTTAACTTCTCTGACACTGGAAAAGTTCTTTCTAACGTCCCTGTGGCTTATTTGGGTACTCGGTTTCCAATTGTGTCCCCTTGTTCGCGTACCCCCCCCCCTCCCGTGTTGAACAATTAATCTACCCTGTCGATTCCTCTTAGAATTTTGTAGGTACCTAGTGATCATGTCTCCCCGACCTATCCTATCTTCCAGCGACGTGAGGTGCATTTCGTGTAGCCATTCCTCATAACTCATGCCTCTTAGTTCTGGGAGCCTAATGGCATACCTGTGAACGTTTTCCAGCTTAGTCCTGTGCTTGACAAGGTACAGGCACCATGCTGGAGCCGCATAGTCCATACTACCATGCCGTAGTCCATACATACCATACTCTATACCTGGGGGCCGCATAGCCTTACATATGTGATATACAAGGTTCTGAGTGTGTGCGTGCCTACCTAAAGATGCACAAAACAAACTTGAAAAGGTTGACAAATATGAAGCAAGGCTCGTTCCTGAGCGACGGGGACTAAGCTATGAGGAAAGACTGAGGGAACTGGACCTCATTACAATGGAGGAAAAAATGAACACGACAGACATGATAACGACGTACAAGATACTAAGAGGGATTGACAAAGTAGGTATAGAAGCAATGTTTACATTACGGAACAGTAGAATGAAAGAATATAATTGGAAACTGGACACACAGCTGAGTCACAGGGGGTGCCAGAAAAACGTTTTCAGTCTCATCAAGATTGTAACTTGCTTAGCTAAATGAATTGTGGGGTTCAGTCCCTGAGCCCATTATGTGCCTCTGTAACCCTTTCCACTACCGCCCACAAGATGGGTATGGGGTGCATAATGAACTAAACTAACTAGTCTTAGAGTCGTAAATGAGTGGAACGAACTAGATGACGTTGTCGAAGTCAATTCGATACACAACTTTAAATGGTAATATAAGAAAAGCGAGTGAAAAGGAGTGTATATACACACACACACACACACACACATGCATTAGGCAGTGGATAGAATGCATTAGGCAGTGATGTGGTGGAGGCTGACTCCATACACAGTTTCAAGTGTAGATATGATAGAGCCCAATAGGCTCAGGAATCTGTACACCTGTTGATTGACGGTTGAGAGGCGGGACCAAAGAGCCAGAGCTCAACCCCCGCAAACACAACTAGGTGAATACACACACACACACACAGCGTAACACAAAATAACACAGGCATAACGTAAACATATTACGGCAAACTCTCAGTAGCGTTAATTCTCTACAATACCGCGCGTCTAGCTCCCAATACCGTAGACCCAAGCACCCATAACACTGACAAACTCACACTAAAAAGTCACCATAGCTCACAGTACAACGAGACTTCTTGCTGACAGCAACAGTATGCTGGAACTGTCACAGCGACATGTGCAGAGACCAATGAACGCATAGATGCTGCACCAACAAGTTGAACACTAACAGTGAAGGATCTACGGTCGGTTATCTTATCTTACCAAAGGTGCAGTACTATCTGTGTGTACTCACCTATTTCTACTCCTCTGTTTATGCATACAGAATCGAGTTTCAGCTCTTGGATCCCGTGGTTCCAGTCGCCGGCTGTTTAATGCAATAACTCCCAGCCTAAATTTCTTCAATGCCATCTGTGTGATGATCTAGGCAGTACTCTGGATTGATTTTTGAAGTGTAGGCTATTTTCATTCAAATTTCACGTCCAATCAAGAAGCCATTTTGTATATTGTATGAACCTAAAACCGAAAACTATCCTAAATGTGAGTTCAAGAGCAATATGTCGTGCTGTGAACTACACACCAATTAGCATACGTCACTTGAAATCGATCCCGAATTATGCAGATTTTGTCATATACAAAAATTCGCGGACCGTAACGCTGGGCAGCCTAGCCCGTCACCACACACCTCTGAATCTGCTGTTCAGCTCTGGGTAAGATAAAATTGGAGCTAGAGAGAGAGAGACAGAGAGGGCATGACACTTGTCCTGGGGACTGCCAGGAGACCTTCTAGGAGTTATGTGGTCCTGGGACTGCCAGGAGACCTTCTAGGAGTTATGTGGTCCTGGGACTGCCAGGAGACCTTCTAGGAGTTATGTGGTCCTGGGACTGCCAGGAGACCTTCTAGGAGTTATGTGGTCCTGGGACTGCCAGGAGACCTTCTAGGAGTTAGGGTCCTTACTTTGCACCTCATCTCTCGTGCCTATTTATTGCCTGTCTCTACTTCCTCATCACCACGGGAGACATCTCCCGTCACGCAGGGTGCAGTCGCACCTCCACAGATCTCCAGTATCAGCTCTTGATACTGGTAATGGCTCAAAAGGGCCACCACTTACAGGCTATTCATGCCCGTGCCACCTCTTGGGTGGCTTAATCTTCATCTTAACACATTCACAAAGGAGACATCTCCCGTCATGCAGGGTGCATTCGCATCTCCACAGATCTCCAGTATCAGCTCTTGATACTGGTAATGGCTCAAAAGGGCCACCACTTACGGGCTATTCATGCCCGTGCCACCTTTTGGGTGGCTTAATCTTCATCAATCAATCAATCAATTCCTCATCACAATCGACTTGAGAATGGTCCAGAACGGACCGAAACGTCGTCGTCCCTTCACGTTCTAGTGTGTGGTCTGGTCATCATACTTTAGCCACGTTATTGTGACTCATCGCTTGCATTCTAGGAGTTATGTGATCCTGGGACTGCCAAGACACCTTGTAGTGCAAGGGTGTGAAACATGCGGCCTGGCACCCCCTCTATGTGCTCACTGGCTACTCAACCGCACCCTGAGCGGGTGCGGTTGAGTAGCCATTAAGTTTAAGTTATATGTACTGCAGCCGTATAATTCAGATTACTGCTTGTGTGTGTTGTATTCGTTCGCAGGGAGATGCTTATATGTTCCATGGTGGAGGATGTGTGTGTACACAGTCCAGTAGATAGCATAGTTATTTATGATTCTACAACTACTGGACGAGATTCAACTCGAACAGAAAGTAGAGTCTTTTCCTACATTTTCTACTGCATTTATAAAGTACAGATGTAATTGAAACAACTCGACAACTCTTGAATTAAATGTATATTTTCTAAACTCAAAGGTTACTAAGATAGTGATAGTACAGCGAAAATCAAACCAAAACTTAGCTGACTACTAACAAATTTCTTGCTCTTATTTATCAATATTTTATATATTTATACGTTCTCAGTGTGACATCGAGAGAGAATATATATCTTAGTGAGTTAGACCTAAAATAGATCTTATTGCCACATGGAATAAAGTTCAGTTTTAAATGCATGTTAACCGCTTTCGACGATGTTACTTGTAGAGGTGTGTCCTCAAACAACAGATGATCGCAAGTGGTGATTCCCCCGGCACTCTTTTATGAGTGCCTGGCACTGGTGTATGTTTCAACACAACTACCCGGTTGAAATTGAAATAAGTTTATTGAGGTAAACTCCCTGCAATACCTCAAATCTTACCCTACTGACAGGCTCCAGTATGTTTCTGTGAATAATTCAATTTCTCCCACCCTATCCATCAATATCGGTGTTCCTCAGGGCAGCATACTTGGCCCTCTCCTCTTTCTCATCTACATTAATGACCTTCCAAATGAAGTCCAAAAGAGGTAAAATACACACAAAGGGATCAGGTAGCTCAACTACCCGGTGTCAGTACTAGTTTTGTGATAGGTATACAAATTATGTCAAGAATAATTGTATATGTAATATAGTCCAAGAATTAGAGGAATAGCCTATCCCCATTCAATCATGTCACCTTCATTGGTTGATATTGTGGATCTTAATCTACTCAGGTGTAGTGGGTATGTAATCCCAAACCTATGTCTTCTGTCTTTACGGGCTACTCATACCCGTGCCACCTCTTGGGTGGCTTAATCTTCACCAATCAATCTTCTTTCAGAATTCATTGTTAATGTGTTGAAGCACGGAAGAGTTCGTATTTTTCGTTTCATTTTCACTACTGGCCAGGGGAGAGGGGAGACCTTTGACAAGCCACCGGCTTTCTGTCCTCATCAAGGCCACTAAAGTATTGGTGGCCCTCAGGTAAATTCAGGTACATAAATAAATAAATAAATAAATAAATAAATAAGTACGTGGTTTTTAGCTATATTTTCCAGACTATAAACTTAAAAGTAAAAAAAGTGTAAGTTTACTTGTGGCCCATCACTACATATTGGTACTTTAGACCAAATAGTTACTATACCATCATTTCAGGAGGATGGCCCATATACCCACAGGCTTCCTGTCCCAGATAAAACGAATTATATAAAATTTGTATAAGTGCTCCACCGAACGCAAGGGCAAAGTACAACACTTTGGGCAATATTATATTGTACTGTCGCAAATACACTATACCAGTAATTTATAAGTAATACATCTAGTTAATACATCGTATCTATCAATATTTTATTCAACGATGTTCGTGGATGATTTTTGAAGTACAAATGTTAGTTTCAAATGTGTTTATAGGATGCAATTGGGTGCGTGTGGCAGCGGAGCGAGTCAGCTGTGGGGAAGGAGCTCAGTTGTGTGATGCTCGTCAACAAGGATGTTACTGTGCAAGTTTCTCTCGGTTTGTTAGTGCTGTGGTCAACGTGGTCTAGTTTTGGGGGGTTAACCGAAGCCAGTAACACGGGTTGTTTGTTCGGAAGCTATAGTCACACAGAGGGAGGAGGAATGATGATTAGGTGGGCGGCCGCTCGCCAGTTCTTTCAAAGTTCATCTTGTCAAGGTTTAAGGTGATGGGGGCGAGTGTCTCAAGCCCCTCCAGGGACCTTCCAGGAGGACTTAAGACAGCTATTTGTGTACCCAGAGTGTGTGTGTGTGTTCTAGGAGCCCCTGCCAGCCCATACTTGCCCCTCTATACAAGACAGTACGGGCCCTAACATGTATACCAGTGGAGTCATAGAAATAGGCATGAGGATTTAAGGGAGGCATTTTTTGGGTATATTTGGGCATTTTACTAGCTGGTCAATATTTATGCTGTAGTACAGTGTGCTGCATGCATATTTGAACGTCAGTATACAGTGCAACCTTGATTCAGCGACCTGCATGGGACCCATCCTGATGTGTTGGAGGGAGATTCATTGCAACGGGAGATACAGTTCCTTCAAAACACATTTGTATTATGCAATATTTTTTTTAAAGACAAACAAAATACACTCTACTGTATGCCTATTTCTTTTAATATTAATGTTTCTTTTATCTATGAATTTTTTTAAAAAACTTGATTGGGGCTTTAATAAGAGTAACCATTTATACCTTAATATTTCCCATGCTCTATGGGCTAATTTCACTGACAAAAATTTACATTTTAACCTATCAATGTTTAACCTCCTGATTGTTGTCACTCATAGGGTCAACAATCAAGAGAACTTGTCTGTAAAGATATTTCACTACTTATTCTTATTTTATTTTTTATTCTTATTCCCCAGCCTCGAAACCTTGTTTCCAAAGGTAGAAAGTCCCATATTTATGTGAAAAAAATGGGATAACTCAAGGAAAAATGAACCATTGAACTTGGTTTTAAATATGCTAAATGGCTTTCCCAAGGCTCTTGACTCTTTCTTCTAATATTGTAACCATCTACAAAAGTCATTAAAAAGGAGATTGGAGCCTTTTGACTGAGATTATTTTGACAATCAGTGAATATTTACATTTTTTTCCAAGTACTGTATTGTATTTAAATTAAATAAGTTAAATAATTTAACAAAAGGGATATAAATGTATTTTTGTTTTCCTGTATACTAGTACAGTACAGTATTGTATTTTTGTTTTTATTTTTTCCTGATTTACCCGAGAGCCACTGACCCTAGTGGCCCCGACAAGAACAGGAAGCTGGTGGCTTGTTGAAGGTCCCACCATTTGCCGTGGTGATCCTCTCCAGGTGGATTTTAAAACCTAACAGTTTTGGCATTTTGCAGCTTTAGCAGGTAGGGGGTTCTATGGATTTAGAACCCTGTGGGTGAAAAAGCATCTGTTCTCAGTCCTACATATGTGGCTTGTTGAGCTTGAAACCATTGCTCCTTGTTTGTGTTACATCTGACCTTTTTAATTAAGAAATTGTCAGGATCAACATCCTCCAACTTGCTCAGTGTTTAAAAGTTTCAATTAGATCCGTTATGTCATGCCTTATTTGCAGTGTTAGCCCTATGGCCCTCAACCGTTCCTGATATGAGAGATGTTGTTTTTAAAGATTCGCTACCTGGAACAAAAAGTTCCAAGCAACACGGGCTATGGTGAGCCCGTAGATAGTTATACGAGAGATGATTTAGCTCTGGAATGACTTTTGTTGCCTGGTGTTACACTTTCTCCCGAGCAGCTATGTCCTTCTGTAAGTGAGGTCTCCTTGCCTGGATACAGTAGTCCAAATGTGAGTTCATCATAGATTTACTGTATACAGTTAAATCACTACCCTCTTTTCCTTAAAGTCCAAGGTATACAGTACTTGATTATTCCAAGGTATTGGTTAGCTTTTCTGACTCCTGCTCCTACCTGTTGTGCAACTTTTAGTGAGTGGTGGATATAATTATGTAGTGCCAGTATTACTTTGGATACCATAAATTATTTATTAAATAATACCTTGTAGGTTAATGATTAAAAAAAATTGGTTTTCAGAAATTTGTCGGTTGAAGTGAATAGAGAAGAGTACTTAAGTGGGTCGTTTGTTCTTCATGATTAGCTCGCGTGGTTTTGTACTTAGGGCAGGAGGAAGGCAGCTCTCGCGGGTTCTTGGTGGATCAAGACCTCTAGAAGTGAGCCTGGACTCGTGTAACAAAGTCAACTGCCTAAGGAGCAAATCATCGGAGACATCAGATAGTACCGTCTTCTGCACTCAAACCACAATCATGCCAGAGACGAAGGAAATGTATCCCTTACTCGAGAAGGTGTGTTTAGTCTTAGTTGGCTAGGTTTTTTTTGTTCCAAGTCATACCACTCGGTACAGTACAGTAGCTTCCTTAGTCAGTACAGTATAGTCAGTATGGTATATTCTTTCACGATACCATAGGTTTCTGGCACTTTTGTTATTTATATACTGTAATATGATTCTTTTTACCTCATTTAAAATTATTAAATTATTAATTTCATATTATTCTTTCTCAAAATTATGAAATATTACTGTCATTACTCAACCTTGTTAAATTGTATGTACTATACTGTAGAGTGTTCAATGTGATTAAAGGGCAAAAGCAAGTTATTCCTTTGGGTTATATGCTATATTCCGATACAAGAAACATTTCTTTAGTTCTATTACTTGATACAGTGACATGTGTTTTACAATTAAAAGAGTAACTCTTAAAATAATGCCTAATTATAATACTGAACGTGCATCTCATAGGATAGGAATCCCAGCTATGCCATCTTGAGTGTGTGTAGCAGTGTCAGCAACAGTCCATAGCCATTTCATTTATAGTTTTCAAATGTTTCATCTATGCAGTGTGTAACCTTGACATTTATATGGCTGGTAGCCATACCAACTACACAGTCCAAAGCCATGTCAACCACACTTCATAGATTAGCCTTGTCAGCTGTAGCCTGACAGGTGTACCATCTAGCCATACCATAGCCATACCATCTAGGTTATAAAATAAGGCAGACTTCTGAGTATCTTGTTTGAGATTGGTATCCAATGCATTCAAAGAATGGATAATCTTATTTTTTAAACTATGCCAAAAATGTGTTCCAAGTTTCTTTGTTTTGTTCCTACCGTGGGAATAGTGATCCTCTGTGCTTGGTAAGATTTGTGGCATAGTCATGCAGGAAAACTAGTAGAATCATTATTACAAGTACTGCTACACCCTTATAGATCCTTAGTTCCATTTGAAGGTGCTAAAAGTTGCCAAATTAAGAATTGACCTAGTCAGGATAACATATATTCAGGAGTGTTTAGAAACCTTAAGTAATTAGCCTCAGTGATAATAATAATACAGTAATAATAATAATTTATTTAGGTAAAGTACATACATAGTTGCAGAGTTACAGTACAAACATTCTGTTTGATTTAAAGATAGAGGTAGTACATACAATACCTAAAGCCACTAGTATGCATAGCGTTTCGGGCAACGCTATGCATGATGTTACATGCATCTGACAAAAGGTAGATCAAACTTATCCTAAATGGCTGTTAGCTGCTGCTGGATGTTAGTTATTCCTAGCTGTTGTTGCTGTTAGTCACTGCTGCTAGTTGCTGCCACTCAAAGCATATCTAATATATATTTTTTTATTTCAACGAGAATTCCTGATATATGTTGACAGCTTGGGCTGCTGAATGCTGACCACATACGCATCAAGAACCTATCCCGAGTGGAAGAACTGGTGACAACCATTACAGAGAGTGGCTTCTCCAGTCTGCAGGTGGGATGGGCCGTTTCTCTGGTGTACCTTCGGAGAGTGCAGAGCACCCACCTTAGACCACCTTAGAGAGCGGCTCTGTTTATGTACAAAGAAAAAATGAAATGGATATCATAGGACAACATGAAATTGTTTGTTATAGGGTACTTAGTTGGGTATTCTAAGCTGCAAGCTTTGTAAAAGATATTCTTTAGTTGTGATGTCTGGCAGGTCTTTATCCTCTTTATCCATATTAAATGATTCAACAATCAGTAAGGACATACTGTATTTGGTGTTTTCTTGCTATTCAATAGAATTGTTGTGTATTCTTTGTGTTAGTGCAGTGCACTATGCCATTTCCCATATTCACCGAAAAATTGTTTCATAGATTCTGAAAGTTTTAGATTTAAACATTTTAATTTGTGCGAAGACTTGTTCTGCCAGACTTGTTTGTATATGCTTCAGGTTTGTATTTTGTCTTTATCTTCCACGTTATCTTCATCTGTGTTGAAACCAGTTATGGGTTACTGTACTTAAGTATTGTGAAAGACTGTTTGTATGGATGTAGTAAATGTTTACAATGTGGGGGCATAAATAACTGATAGGAAGCAACTATAATGTGAGTTACACAAATACAAGAAAGTACAGCACAGTACTGTATGTATAGAAGAATGTTGCAGTGTTTTATATGTACATATTTCATCTTGTGTATAGGGTAACGTACTAGTGTTCAGATCATAAGAAAGTTAAAGATGGTCTTGGTGCACTAAAAAATAGCTATATTAGGTGTATTGCAAAATTTATGGTATGAATAGAAAGGAGACTTCTTCTATAGTCTTGGTGTTTTCAAGACTTGTTTCCAAACACTTGGTGTTTAGTGTTTTCAGTGTTTGTTTACATTGCCCATTCAATATATTTACATTGAATGGGTAATGTAAATATAACACCCATGGAAATATTAATCAGAAACATTGGCATCTGGAGTTTGTCGCTAAACCACAAAGCCAAACAACCTGACGGTAGTCTCTGAACAGCAAAACACATCGCCCATTTGTAAGATTTTTTCGCTTGTAGACATATATATAATTGTCTATATTATATCTCCTTTCATTTCCATGCTACAGTATTAGGCAATACTCCTAGAATAACAGACCTGGTTTCCAGATGTTTGGCCCTGTGAATGTCCAGAGACTAGCAATTGGCAGTGTCAGAGACAGTCAATAGGTAATCCAATGTTCAACAGCTCATTTCTTAGCAGCTGTAGTGTCAAGATCTGATATTACGGGACACAATAGCAAGGTGTATTGATTCTCTTTTGTGGTACTGTACTATTTTTTCATATTGTCTGGTGGAATAATTTTTTCTCTGCTTTCCATAAATCTGGACACTAGAAACTAGACATCTATGTTCAGGGACTCATTCCTTAGGTATAGCTAACCATTAAGGCCTGATATTAACATGCAAGGTAGCATGTTGTGTCTGACATGCATTAGTGTTAATGTCCTGGGTTATGATAGGACGACTAAAGATAAGAATGTTTCGAGCATTAATGGTGACGTGGAAGGAGGCAAGGAGGAGAAAGCTGCTGCACAAACTGCAAAATACAATTCCTTTATAGTATGCATTAATCATTTGATTAATTAGGCTTCCAAGAGTAAAAATCCAGTTTTGGGAAGCGTATCTATAAATACTCTCCATTCAGCTCTCTGCCTCTGAAAGAGGTACTTGATGGTTTGAAACCGTACAGTACTTATCTCATGAGGTGTAGAGGTGGCTACACCTCGGGAGAAATTCTGAAGTACAGTACAGTATATTTGTTTATGAACAGACTACAGTACTGTATTATGTCTGATAATCTTAGCAATGCTGTTTGTATTATTACAAAATAGTAGTTATTTTAAAGATTTACCATTGTTTGTGGGTAATTTTAGCTACATTAAGACATGCATGCTAGTACAGAGCTGTTTATTAACCCATAAACAGATCCAATACAGGTAATTATCTCCTGTATTTGAATTGCCATATGCTTTTTTTTTACATTAATTTTGTGAAATATTTTTGTCTTGTGCACTATGATGCAAGACTTTCAATTAGCTGAGCCATTTAAGTGTTAAGTAAGTTATTAAACAAAAACTAAATATTTTATATAAATCTCAAGTCATTCTCTTTGCCTTGACTGTAAACAGTTAACTACTAGCTTGTTTGCCTTATTTGCATGAAATGCACTGAAGATGATAGATTTCTGCTAATATAAACGGAAGTTCTCTAGCTGGTTAGAATGTTCCTGTAGCTGGCTTGGTAACTTAATCATTGTACTATATTTAGTTTCACAGAAAAACATGTGCAGTACAGGGGGACTTCAAAAATCTAGGCAGTATTGTTCTGATACCTTGTGGAATTTTGGAAATTCTAGATTTCAAGAAAAAAATAATTTTATTATTGCAGTATTCATAAATTGTGCTTGACCTTTTCCTACAGATAATGATAGAATGCATTTGTATATTTTCTCAGTCAAATAATATACAGTACCACAGAGTATTTTTCAAATGTCGAAAAATAAAACTTGTAATAAAAACTTAATTGTACCTGCTTTTTGGAAGACACTTATTTTTATTAACTACTTGATCTAATTTTTCAAAATTCAATCTACTGAATATTTTCTTAGGAGTCTTCTTAGCTCCCTGGAGCTTACTCACTTGTGTAGCCAAACATTAAGAATTACACCCGGGCTCTGAGACCCATGATTGCTTTTCAAAAGCCAGCCTCGGAATCTTTCACTTCCTACAAGGCTAGGGAAGCTTGGGGATTAAAGATCTACCCAAAACCGAAAAAAAAACATAAAAGTTAGGTGAAACAAAAAAGCTGCTACTTGAAATAAATAAATCCCAAGACATATTGTTGCTGATAACGAACAACCCTCACCTTGATGTGCCAGACTGCCAGCAGGTGGCAGCTCAGGTTACTTGGAGGCCTGGCCAGCTTCCCATCTCACTTGCTGGCCTGGTGCACTTAAGATTGCACCTCTATACTCTGACCCAAGAGATTCTGCTCCTTTCAGCTAAGTGGTGTTGGCTATCTCTGAAACAATAGTTCCAAGAGGAGTCATTCCTTTGTTTTTATTTGATATTTTTCACAGTTGTTTAGTTCGTACTATATTGTGTGTTCCCTGTGTGCTATTTTGCTCCAGCCTTGTGCCAGAGTTATCTCCCCTGGTGGCCAGCTTAAGTTTTCCTTTCTCCTGATGCTGGGGAGTTTGGGTTATTCCCGAGAGTTGACTCCTCTTGAGTCATCTTGCATTAAGGTAGTACATGGGGTTTACTTCCCACAGCAAGACCTGCTGCTGGGAAGTTGATATACCGGTAGTTAGCTCTGTTTGCATATACAGCAATTGGTACCAGGCCCTGATTTCTGTAGGATTTTGTGCCTTGTGCTTTTTTTCTGTGCATACTTTAGGGTTGTGTAAATGATTCTACCTTTCAGTGACTTTCTGTCCCTTCCCTCTGTGGGGCAAATCAGGACAGGGTTATGCATGTGATTAGCAGACAAAGCTTCCCTAATGCCTACATGCCTGCCTGTTTTGCAAAAGGTCCAGGCTTCCAGTACCCATTTTCTTCATGAGGTCTTTTCACGTTTGCCACTTTGTTTATAAAAATATTTAATATTTTCTTAAATAGTGGGTAGCTTGATTGAAGAATACCTATTAATGAAGAGATATAACCAAGAGGACATATAGTAGTGTTAAATATATCAACACATAATAGAACATGAAACAGTGGATACAAATTTGATAAATTTAAATTCAGAAAAAGGCCTGGTATGTACATACTGATCTGGAAATAGGGTTGTTGATATTTCTGGATCAAATTACTGGGAAACATATTTGGATTTTGGATCACTGGATTGTTTCAAGCAAAGGTTAGACATGTATATTAATATTTAGTGGAGTGTAAATAGGAGCTACCTCTCGTGGGTCAATAGGCCTTCTGTGGGTTCTTAATTCTTGTGTTCTTATGTTATAAGGTAACTATATTTTGTAGTTGTGCAGCTTCCTTTTGTTCATCCTATTTAACTTTTCCAAATGTCACCATTAATGTTGAGCAACCTCAAGAAATCTCAATCTTTGAACAAGAAAAAATATGCTGACAAAGAAACTCCTTCAGTTACAATGTATCACCTTGTTGTATTACAAGAGACAAGAATTGGACGTCTAGCTTTCTCCAGACCTGAGTCAGGACTCGCTAAGTTATTAAGCAGGAAAACGCCTGTGCAGGCATTTGATAATTGTTTTAGTATTTGATGTAATTTGTATAGATTTTGTGATAAATGCATTGCTTTAATATATTTGCTTATTTGAAAACATAGGTGTCTGTACATCAGTAACTAACCAGACCACTACATCCTGGAATTAAATTTTCTTCCACGTCAAGAGACTGTGTCTGACTTGATCATGATGTTGGCTAAATTATCCAGAGATTCAAGTTAATAGGTTCTGAATTAGCAGTCAAAGTAACAAATTAATGTAAACATTTTCAGAAAAATTCTACTCAAGGTATTGGACTGCCCAAAATGAATCCACAATGAAAGTGTTAATGGTGCAGAACTGGTCTGAATTCCCATCCCACATATTAAAAATTAAAGTGTCTTGCCGATTTATAAAAATAACAGCAAAGTCCAGGTGCAGGATTCGTCAAGCATTTACAAGTCTACCTACAAGACTTACACAGTACATTTTAAGTCGATTATAGTGGCTTACTCTGTCATACCGTAAACAGTTTGAGCTTGTAAATGTTGCAAGGTTATTCTTGACCCAAGGTCATTTTTATTATAAACAACCTCGTATCTCATAAACTGTCTAATAAATGCAAACTAATCCGCTATGATTGGGGTGGGATGTACTAGTCTCGTAAGCGGACACGTAAATGTTTGATGAATGCTGGCACTTGTTTTTATGGTTTTTGCTGTTGTGTGGTCTAGATATTCGAGGTCCTTATGTACTGTACTATGTAAATAGTGAATGTTGTTATATTTTCTTAGAACATGATGTACAGTATATTATGATATTGGGATTACCTTCTATCCATTGGACAAGTATGAAATCTGACTGACCATTAGTTTGCCTTCAGCTGGTGGTGGACTTTGACTACACTCTGACACGCGTTCATATGGGAGGACAACGGTGCCAGTGTTCGTGGGGTAAGTGGTGAAGGTGCGAGGAGCATCACTCTAGGAACCACACGAGTTCTGTGGGCCTCCTACCAAATAACATAAACACATGCTTAAAAATAAATATTGAGGCCGTACGATAGAATCCGGAACATGGGTTTGATACCATTGTACTGCCTTAATATTTATTCCTAGAATCATAACATTCTTGTGATTTCATTGAACATGCCCAAGTTCACCCTTTATATTAGTATGATATCAGTTGCATAATTTGTTTAGGTCAAGTTACAGCAAAGGAATAAAAAAGTGGCAGTTGTTAATGCACTTGTATATTATTTATGGGTAGTTGTAGAAAATATTTATTCAGTTTTCAAATATTGTCATATATAGATGTACCATCTCTGGTGCAATTGTAGGGACCCATAGCCTCAAAGAAGAAAATAGAGCATTCAGAGAAGAGCTTGTGGATTCTCACTGAACACCTTAATGTTTTCATCTCCTACTACCCCCATTCTTATTTTTTTTATTAATTTTATTACATTGTGTTACAGTTTACAGAAAACACACACACACAACACTGTTCAAAGACCTCATCCAGCTCTTCAGAGGTGAGATGCTTGCCCGAGATACAGCAAGCATTTCCTATCTGGATCGCGACACTGAGGCGCTGAAACAGGAAACTGGACACTCTTGAGTCTCTAGTTTACCAAATGAGTTCCTCACCCACCTCCTTTAGGAACTTAAGTGCATATTTACCCCAGGCAGTCAGGGTCTGAGTCTATTGGCACAAACCTGTAACAACATTCTAGGTCCATGTTCATATTAGTTTTATGGGTCTTGGAGGAGGCTGCCCTGCCTCCTTCAGCTGTACTGTGAGGTAGATAGGTATCGCCTAATGTAGACACACACACATGTAGACCCACACGACCTGTTTACCATACATCCATGGCTCTGGGGTGACTCCATATGTGTATTTGTGACTGTTGTCAGGTCTGCACAATTGAGGTTCCCTTTGTGCTCATCACCCAGCTGTAGCTAAACTTCTCTTGATGATGTCATTGACTGCTTCATGTCTGGCAATCTTTCCCTGTGACTTACGACATATGAGACCATGACTGCCATATTGGTTTGCCGACGCATAACCACAGATACACCAGTGTTCAGTGGAGATATGGGTGGCAAAGCGCAGGGCAAACAATACTTAGGGTCCGATGGTCCAGGTGGGTGCCCAAGGCAGAATTAGGGATAACCAACAGGAAGTCCCCAGCATGAGAAGCTTGCAAAAGTAGGTATGCTTTGTCCTTTCCAGAGGCTTCCTCCAGCAATGCTGTGGCAATGTTCTCCACTATGAGGTTATTCCATTTGGCCTGTTTGCAGTCGTTTAGAAAAGTTGGTCGATGTTGAGAGCTGACAAGATTGTCTCACTGGCCAGCTCCATCTATGAATTTGAGATCATAAATCCCAATGGAATCTCATAGGTATTCTGGTAGTACTGTATCTCATTCACTAATTCACCGGTAGCACTTGTCGAGGATAAGAATGCCTCCCAACCCAGAGTCTAACTGGGAGTGTTGCTTGGTCCCATTGGTCATATTTCAGGGAGAGGTTTAACACTTTCCTGGTTATTGATTTTAGGAGTGCGTCATATTCTGTTTATTTTGTACTGTCCAAGGAGGGAGCACACCTTAGGAAATGGTAAGCCAGGGGGAAAGCCAGGTACCTTGTGAGGAGGTACAAAGCATCGTGGGCATTCAAAGCCCCTATTATTACCTCCATCCTCCTCAGGTTGTTCAGTTTTTCGTCGAGTGTTACCTCAATGGCACTTGAGCTCAGAGGTGCCCCTAGCAGCACACTGTTGGTGGGAGCGATCACTGAAGCTCCTGGCAAAACAGATTTACTGCATTTATGATTGGTTGGCTAGATGAGATGATTTCGTATTTTGATGGATTTAGGGTGAGTCCTAACTCCTCAAATTTCACCAGCTGTAGATCCCCTAGGAGGGTCTCCTGTGTCCCTACCAGGGAACCATCTACCAGGAACTTGATGTCAAGTTTGCTGGTCAACCTCCTTGTGACTGTCTTTAGCAGCCATGCAGAAATGGAGAGGGGCAAGTGGGTCTCCCTGCTGGACACCTTCTCTGGAAACATGTTCCCCAAACAACAGCGTCGATTCCCTACTGTATCCTACTGAAACGAAGGGGGAGTACACAATGAAAGCTTGTTTGAACTGTTTCTAGTACCACATTTTTCACTTTGGCAATAAACATTTCATACAGGTAATTGATATAATTGATTGAAGCTTGCTTGAATGCAAGGAAAAATTTTAATTCCTTCAATTTTACATCGAACCTAGGAGGGGAACATTTAAAAAAATAGGTGAATATGAAGCTCTGTTAGAATAAAAATAAAAGCTTATATAATACAATAATTGAAATTGCATACAGATGCTAGGACCGTGCACTCTGTGGTGTACACGAGAGTGGACTCCAGGTTGGGTGTAATATACCTCTTAACAAGTGTGGGGAAAACAGTGTCTCACAGTTGGTGTCAAATGTGGTCTGCGATATTAGGAAAGCTGCCTTTTTTTTATTTGACCTTGAGACATTTCATACACTATTAAAGTTTATCTGAAGCTGTTTTGGAATAAATGTATATTTGATATAATGTGAAACTACCACCAGGTTACCAGTGAAAATACTATGACTAATACCAGTTGTTTTACTACAGTAATACTAGTACATTAGTGTTGTTATTACTGTAGTACCATTACTGTATTATTAGTACTAGTACATTAGTGTTGTTATTACTGTAGTACCATTACTGTATTATTAGTACTAGTACATTAGTGTTGTTATTACTGTAGTACCATTACTGTATTATTAGTACTAGTACATTAGTGTTGTTATTACTGTAGTACCATTACTGTATTATTAGTACTAGTACATTAGTGTTGTTATTACTGTAGTACCATTACTGTATTATTAGTACTAGTACATTAGTGTTGTTATTACTGTAGTACCATTACTGTATTATTAGTACTAGTACATTAGTGTTGTTATTACTGTAGTACCATTACTGTATTATTAGTACTAGTACATTAGTGTTGTTATTACTGTAGTACCATTACTGTATTATTAGTACTAGTACATTAGTGTTGTTATTACTGTAGTACCATTACTGTATTATTAGTACTAGTACATTAGTGTTGTTATTACTGTAGTACCATTACTGTATTATTAGTACTAGTACATTAGTGTTGTTATTACTGTAGTACCATTACTGTATTATTAGTACTAGTACATTAGTGTTGTTATTACTGTAGTACCATTACTGTATTATTAGTACTAGTACATTAGTGTTGTTATTACTGTAGTACCATTACTGTATTATTAGTACTAGTACATTAGTGTTGTTATTACTGTAGTACCATTACTGTATTATTAGTACTAGTACATTAGTGTTGTTATTACTGTAGTACCATTACTGTATTATTAGTACTAGTACATTAGTGTTGTTATTACTGTAGTACCATTACTGTATTATTAGTACTAGTACATTAGTGTTGTTATTACTGTAGTACCATTACTGTATTATTAGTACTAGTACATTAGTGTTGTTATTACTGTAGTACCATTACTGTATTATTAGTACTAGTACATTAGTGTTGTTATTACTGTAGTACCATTACTGTATTATTAGTACTAGTACATTAGTGTTGTTATTACTGTAGTACCATTACTGTATTATTAGTACTAGTACATTAGTGTTGTTATTACTGTAGTACCATTACTGTATTATTAGTACTAGTACATTAGTGTTGTTATTACTGTAGTACCATTACTGTATTATTAGTACTAGTACATTAGTGTTGTTATTACTGTAGTACCATTACTGTATTATTAGTACTAGTACATTAGTGTTGTTATTACTGTAGTACCATTACTGTATTATTAGTACTAGTACATTAGTGTTGTTATTACTGTAGTACCATTACTGTATTATTAGTACTAGTACATTAGTGTTGTTATTACTGTAGTACCATTACTGTATTATTAGTTATGACACTGTAACCATTCCTGTTACTGCTAATATGCTTACTAATACTGCTGATGCTCTGATGCTATAATAATATTTATAAGGACAAATGTGTATAATTTTTATTCCATTTCCATGATGCTTATGATTAAATTTTGTTAATTTTAAGTTTAATAAAACAAATGTTTTGGGCTTAACCCCACAAAGGGTTGAATTGCAGCACAAAAACACATTTTTCACAATATATTTTTATTAGTTTCTACTAACAAAAACAAGAAAATCTAGCTTTTCCAGTTGTGCAATTAAACAAAAATTCATATAGAAAATGTTAAAAACAAGCTGTGTGTGTTCCCAGGATATATAATAAAATATATTAATACAGTAGCTTGTTTAGTAAAATATACTAAAGCATCAAGTATATGTAGTTTGTACAAGCTCATTTTTTATTCTGGATTTTATTTGGGGGGTATTTCTTTTCAAAATTATTAAATTCAACGTGTGTGCTCTGTACCAGTGGTCTATGTTCTTGGCTCAATACCTAGGAACCTTTGAATCAATTCCCAGGCAGGACAGCAAATGGTTAAGCTTCCTTTCACCTGGTGCCTTTCTTCACCTAGCAGTAAATATGGTGCCTAGGAGTTAGGCAAGTGTTTTAGGTCACTTCCTGGGAAAGGGCGATACTTTTTTTTTACCCAGGGGGCACCTCGATAAGCCTGATGTACCCTTCCCATCCCCGACAACTGGAATTATTCTGTGGAAAAAATATCTGGAAACATTTTTCAAGGCTCAAGATAACCTCAAGAAGATAGGCATTGGAACTTAGATTGTGTATGGTATTTTCATTGGATGACCTCTATTGCTTTGGCAGCTAAGGGGTCAAATAGCACTCGCATTGATTCCAGAAGTCCAATTATATATTGATATTTCAGGTCCTGATATTTAAATAAGTAATAGTGTAACTTAAAAATCCTAAAACCGTGTTTAGCACATCAGCAT